CGCCGCGCCCCGCCGCCGCCGGGGAAGGAGCCGTGGGCGAGCGCGCCCTCGCCCAGCCCCGCGCCCAGCCCTGCCCGGCGAGGAAGGACCGGGAAGATGAACAACGGCGGCAAAGCCGAGAAGGAGAACACCCCCAGCGAGGCCAACCTGCAGGAGGAAGAGGTACGGTGCGCCCGGGGCGGCGGTGCGGGCCCCGGCGGGGACGCGGAGCGCGTGGGGAGCGGCCCGGGACGCTGTCGCGCGGCGTGTGTTTGTGTCCGCGCGTCCGCGTGCCTGCAATTGCGTAACTTGGAGGACTTTTTGAAGACTTTCGTAAGTATAATGCCCAGCTTTGTTTGCCCCGGACTTTAAAAAGCGGAATCGAGAGCTGACTCCTGGGTGACCCCAGATGATCGGGACCCGGAGGGTCAGAACTTAGCTCCGGGTTTGGAGCTGGTTCGGAGGCGGGGGAGAGAAGGGCTGGTTAAGGAGGAAACTGGCGGAAAAGTTCTCCTGAAGAGATACGCCTCCTCCCCGCCTTTCAGGGTTAAAAGTTCTTGGTGAATATCGCTAGCTGAGACATTTGGATTAATAGATAACTCATAAGCCGCATTCTTCTTCGATGAGTCAAAGACCCCCGGACCTGGGAGATTAGCTTTTGTAAATTTAGGGGCGATGCCGAATGGTGGAAGCAGAACAAAAAGGGTTAAAAAACTTAAATTAGCCAAATACTCCACGAGAATGTTTTCATAGGCTTTAGGCTTCTGAGCCTACATTTTATGTGTTGTGTCCGAAGTAACGATTTTAAAAGAATTGCGGCTGCGGAGATTTACTTCGATGGAAACAAAATTTAGAAAAAGTGTGGACGTGGGTGCAGGGCGAGGGGCACAGACCCTTTAGAATTTTGCAGTTGGGATATTCGTGGTAGCCTATCAAACGGCTCTTCCTGCATTTACATTGTCTGGAGTGCAGGAAGCAGTATGTTTTCCTACTTTTTGAGACCCCCACATAGTTGCAGTATTAACATTCTACAAGGAATTTTGAAGGTGTGCGGATGCAGAAAGTGTACATCTCAATATAGTCTATATAAAGTTCCTACAATAATTGCATCCTGTTCAAACGGGTGAATGCATAAACTGATTCTAAAGCTGTTTAGGGTGACGGGATTATTGTAGAGATGCGGTTGTGTACAGACTTGAATCCTGAGAGTGAAATCAAACATTTTGGAGAAATTCGACAAATACGTGTATGATCTTTACGTGGGACCCATTTGTGAAATGGCAACTATTTAAATTAGGAAAATACAGGAGGGACCTGAAGGCATGCGAGACAATGCAGAATACAAGATTTTACACTCAACACTGTATGACAATACAACCTATGAATTGTTTTAAGCCGATAATTGCCTTCTTACCTGAGGAAATTTCCTATTAAATATTATCTTGAAACATTTGATTTACAAGTTTGTTATTTTGTAACTGCAAGTGTAGAAATACCACATTTCTTTTTTGGAAAAAAGTGGAAACTTGAATTGCAAGTTTCCACTTTTTTTTTGGAAACTTACTGGCTGCTTTGCCTCATCACTTACCATTTTTAAAATGATAGTTTGGTTTTTCGGAATTGCGGTATATTTAATTCACATAACACAGCAAGATAATCATTGCTTCAGAAACCAGTTTCTGTCAAGTTGGCAATCTGTTTACTTTTTTTTTTTTTTTGGTGGAACCGGGGATTGAACTCAGGCCCTTGTGCTTACTGAGCCATCTCCCTGGCCCCAATCTCTTTACTTTGAAAGATAAAAGAATGTTTTGCATGAAACAATCTTTTCTGTCACCCAACTTTAGCTGGCTACGAAGTTACCTATTTTATGTCTTTTCTTAAATGCTTTTTATAGCTAGAAATTGGGTAGGTTTGTGTGTTCTTAATGGAAAGAAGCTTTGGAGCTTTGCTTGGAGCTTTTTTCTTGACCTGTCTCTGCTGAACTGCTCCAGGGACTGAGGTGTTGCCCCTTGCTCAGTGTGAGCTTGCCCACAATAGATGCTGCGGTGAACGAGAGCCCTCACGTGCCATCCCAAGTACAGTTAGAGCTTCTCACTTGTCCTTGCTTAAAAAGTTCTTGCATATGTGGGAATGTCTAGGTATCAGTAATATTTTTTTTTAAGCAAAACACTTATATTTACAAAGTAAGACAGGAAAATGGGCAGCATTCAAGTTGAAGGCGGCAGGGTGCAGTGTACAAAGTAGATGGAGTGAGGTTTATAATGTTAGAAATCCAGGGAAGGAGTGTTGGCTTGGGTAATCAGGTAATTTTGTGCACACACACACACACCCACACCCACACCCACACCCACACACCCACACCATTTACATGGTGTTTTTGAAAAACTCCTAGGCTTTTTTTTTTCCTTTCTAGCTCTGAAAGCCACAAGTAAAGTAAATATGGTATTTGGTGAGTCCCCTAATGTGCTTAGCATTATATAAAAACCACAACACTGGACCCTTTCCCTGCCCACCCAGTGGGTCAACAATTTGTTCTCACACACATTTAAAAGCCTTGGCAGTGGCTTCCAGTAAACAGAACACACATATAACATGTGTACATGCATAGTGACAAGAGAGAAAAATGTGTTGGATTATATTTCTGGTGGCCATAAGATTGATGTAAAAAATGAGTCGAATTATAATCAATCGAAAATGTTTATTTCATAAGTCACCAGGGTGCGTTAGGCTTTCTACCACATTGGTGAATCCAGGGCTTTTTGGGGGCAGAGGACAAATTTCTCTTACAATCCAGAATAGTTTAACTCCGTTTGAAAATCTGACGGCTTATGCTGCAGTTATGATGGGTTGAGATGCTTCTTTGGCTCCAGGGGTCTAGAATGAATAGTCCAAGATTCAGGAGTATTTTTGCAGGTTTTTAGGGTTTGAGGATTTTGAAAACATGTGCTAAACACATACTCCTACTTTGGATAGCACTTAAAACTTTGAGGAGATTAATGTAGGATTTGGTGAGGCAATGTTGTGAAAGGGATAATACACCTGACTTTCATTCTGTAAAGAAAATTGTTATCAAAATATTCCTGACATAAGAGATTTATGATATTTATGTGTATATATATGTGTGTGTAGGGTGTCTGATCATTTCTTGTATTACTTTATAATTAACATAATTCCTGGAATTTGTGTTTAATTGTATGACTAGACTTCATTAGCATTAACAAATACACAACTAAAAACCCGTAATATTTGTCTTGTCTGATTAGTTATCATTCCTGTTTTAATATGTTTAGATGTATCAGGACCTTACTTTGCCTTGTAGACAAATTATTTATCATTGAATTTTCAAAGTAGAAATTTTTTTTCTTAGAAATCAGATAAATATGTAGTGTGGTTTTATTTTTAGTTTTGTTTTACTCATGTCATTGGGTGCTTTAGGGGCTGATCACAAACCATTTCTACCAGAGATTTTATTATGTTAAGGCAGTTTTATTTAAAGTGTAAGCTCAGTCAAAGCAATTTAAAGATAAATTACATTAAGACAGTGAAAATTTTGGCACTGTTGGAGTATTGATCGAAAAGATGTTTGGCAGATGTTGGGCAGAAATCACATGAAGTCAAAATCTTCAGAGGTTCGTTCAAATCTTTACCTCGCATTCCTTCTTTTAAGTACTTAGTAATTTTGCCAAAAAATAATTGGAGTTGCAAAGAAAAGTTTTTTTTATAACTGGCAGAGAAAGGGCAGTGGCAGTGATGTGCAACCTCAGTTTTTGCTGAGCGTTCGGATTAATCTACACGATTATTTTGGGATGGTACAAACTGGATTTTTAAGAGCAGTGTAACCAAATGTGGAGTCTGTTATTCTGAAGTAAATCTAATACAGTAAACTTGTATTTCAGTCACATAATAGGGTTTGGTGAGAGTGATTTGGATGGCAGTGTGATGACCTCATGGTGGAATGGTGTGGCAAGACCCCTGTCAGTATGGCCTGTACTTGAGCTATGATTGGAAAGGCAGTTTTATAATTACCCTGATAAACCTTTATACATGAATACATTGTTCTTTGTTTTCAGTGGCATTTATTTATTTTGGTTTGGATGACGTAGAAGTTGTTTTGGAAATGTTTTATATTTTTATATATTTTATTTTATGTTTGGAGGCTTATATTAAATTTTACTTTGAGAATAAAAAGTGTTCAAAGCTGACCATGGGGCAGTGAGTTGTGAACTTGTGGTACAGGCCAGTGGTGAAGCAAATTAATGTCGCATTTCCAAAAGACTGGAATTACGCATCAAAATGTGTTCCAGCACTTTGTCTTAGTACTGTTATTAAGAATTTAAGGAATTAGGGTATAATGAGGATTTTTTCATAGGAATGATTATTATAGTTATTTACAATAGTGAAAATTCACAAAGACTGTATGTCTGACAGGGAAATTTTGAGGCAAATCATATAATTCCAGGAAGGAGATATGTAGCCATCAACATCTATGCTTTTAAAGGGAAAATATATTTTATATGTATACAATATTATATCTATATCTGTACAGATTATAGTTTCTCTAACAGTTCTAGAGACCAGATTTTTTTTTTTTTTTTTTTTGGTGAAACCAGAGATTGAACTCAGGCCCTTGTGCTTGCTAGGGAAGTACTTGTTCCACTGAGCCATTTTCCCAGCCTCCCAAACAGTTCTAGAGACCCAAAATCTGAAATCAAGGTGTTGGCAGGGGCCTCTTGCAAAGTGGTAAAGAAGAATCTTTTCTTTTTTTTCTTTGAACACTGGGCCTTCTTGGGGAGCTACATCTTATAACCTCAGCCCCTTTTTATCTTTTATTTTGAGGCAAGGTCTCACTAAATTGCTCAGGCTGGATTAGAATTTGCAGTCTTCCTGCGTCAGGCAGCTAGAGTGCTGAAATTACAGGTCTGCACTCATGACCAGCTAAGAATCTCCTCTTGCGTTTTTCCTCGTGGCTCTAGATGTTCTGAAGACTACACTACGAGAATAATCTCAGATTATAACATTAACTAGAAAGAGCAGATTTTAAGGTTTGTTATGATACCAGTTCTTAAATATGTATAAAATGTATGTGATTAGTTACATATAATTACTACTTTCTGATACATTTGTTTATGTTTTGTAAAGTGATCATATGAGCAAATAATGTAATACATTTGTATTCTGAAGACTTTATGACATTATGCTGGGTGTAGATGTCACAGACAATCGGGTTGGTCACATTTTGT